GTCATCTTATTTTTTATATACTTTAATTAGTTATTTAACACGTTCGCTGTCAGTGTTTATTTCGGTGATGGTCTTGTCTATTATAATATTTTCTTCGATCCAATAAATCTAAACAAAACATTAAATAAATGAAACTGGAACGAATCGAGTTCCTAAATATAATGTTGTAGTTTATAATTTCCAATAATAATATCTGTAGGAAAATTTCATTTTCATTATGTAAAATATTGTTTTTGAATGGAAGCAACTAAGATTAAATAAATAAACTGACAGTAATGCAAACTCACGATAATATTAATCATTGAAGATAGTTTGTTTATATTATATTAAACACTTGAAGATGATAGATAGAAAGTAGTGGAAGTGTGAAAATAAAGGACTAGACAGAATACATTTGTACAATCGAAATATCAATATATTTTCATTCATTTTTCTTAACATTCATTTTTAATAATTATACATGAAACTGTAGAAGAGTTCTTCCTGTAATTTAACGATGAATTAAAGTACATACATGTACTTGTAGTAATGCAAATTAACTCTTTGCACTCGAAGCTTTCTCACTGACATCACCAGCAACTCGAAGTAATTTTAATAGAAAAAGCGTATTAATGTATAAATAAATAATACGCGCATGGAAAGAAAAGTCATATGTATCTTACTGTTTTCTATCGATTATAGGTATAAATGTTATAATATATTTAATGACAAAATTTCACAGTTTATAATGACAAATTATAAACGGCTCTGCAACGCAGTCCTCGAGTGCAAAGGGTTAACATTAATTAATTTGTAATTAACTTTATACAGCGGCACCTATTGCGAAACGTCTTAAACTGTTTCCCAATTATTCCTCCCAATTGTAATTAGATGGCGCCATATGCATTATCCTGTAAATACCTGCCCCTTACATTATACTTCCCAATGTACACAGATGCAATGAAATAAACAACAATATCTGGCAATATCTCGTTTATTTTATTTACATTCTTCCTTCCAATTCGAAATTTGTTAATTTTAGTCGTAAGATAGGTAACGAATGTTGATCAGCTTCGAAAAAGCGTCGATGTTCTGTTCGACTACATTGTTGATTCGAGATTTCCTTTCGCGCAACTTAGTAGCAATGATTTCCTTCTTATTTACACAAAAGGAATACAATTCTAAGTGATCAGAAGTACACAATGACGAGAGGTTGTTGAGTCGTTAGCAATACTGTACCTTTAATGAACTTATCAAAAGCCAGAAGACATTCAATTCGATGTGCATGTTGCATAATCTTGCATATAAAATACAGTATGTCGTACATGTAAGTACATATATGTATACATACGTACGTAGGTGTACCTACACACACGTATATATACGACGTACCAATTAGTAAAACAATCGATTCCTTGAGTGGCACAGATTCGTACCAAGAATATATATTTATATTGAGGAGCAATTGAACGGAAACCGATCTCTTTACATTTCACGATCACGTAGAAACGGTTGACGTTCCCTGAATATATTCGTTGTACAGAATTGTACAATAAACTTGAGAAATTCAACGAACTCGACGATAATTTGTACACGATAAAATATCGCTTTAGAATATTTCAAGTAGACGCCAACAATTTCTATATAGGTATGATATTCAACGAGAAGTTCGTAGACTTGACAGAGATGGGCGAATTCATTGTTCAATCGAAGAGTCTCTCGTAAATCAAAATTGAATAAGCTTGAACGTGCTAATTGCAAGTTGCAATAGTATTTCTATTCCCTTTAGAATAATTCAATTCTTATCGAAATAATCCTTTGATCCTATTAACCCTTTGCGGACGAATGTCGGCACTTCTGAGATCAAACTTCCATGTTTGGAGTACCAAATCGCGAACAAATGATTTAACTATTATATTCTCTATGATTTAAACATTCAGTGTTTAATTTAGCAGAATCTGCAAAATGTTTTCTATACTCTCAACAATCTTCGTCCGCAAAGGGTTAGTTGATAGAAAGATGAAACCCTGAAACACCGTTTTCGTTCGCCATTAACACGCTCGCTACCAGCGCCACATATTGGCTGTAATACTATAATTTACACAATGAAGATTAATCCTATAGATATAGTTATTAAAAATGATAAACATTATATTTAGGAAATCGATGAGTCGTTCCAGTTTTTTCTAATATTTTGTTTAGATTTATTAAATTGAAGAAAATATTATAAAGAGACCGTCACCGAAATAAGCGCTGGTAGCGAACGTGTTAATTATTATCCGAATAAAATTTCCCCCATCCCTGGTAGATGACAAAGATTGGGATCAAGAATAATTGATATAGGTAACAATAATCTTGAAACGCGACAGTTATAATAAGTAGTAAGGTACAAGAGAATCACACGAACCGTGGAGACCACGCTTCTCTTACTTGGTCGAGGGTATCTAAGGTAACATTATTATTAATGGATTTACTATCTACCTTTTCCATCGGTCATGGGTCACTGGAAACATTGTTCACTCTATATTCTATGCGACGGGCATATGCGAATACCTTGGATCCCCGGTGCAGCACTGTTTAAAATTCACTGAATTATGTAACGACCTTTTTGTGGCACGAGGTATCCAAGGTAAGAAAAATTGATGCGCCTGTCTATGGAAGACAGGTTTCAACGATTGTCGAATACGATTCGCATCTGCCGGACGCCCAGTGAACTCGGAGCCGAACGACAGAATTCAAATATTCCCTTATATAATCTCTTCGCTATTAAACTGTGGATGCTCACGCGAATATACTGAAGAGTGACAAGAATAAAGTAACAGTTTAATCTGACAACGATTCGAATCGCTTCCAAATAGAATGGAGAAACGTTGAAGCGTCATCGATCACCTTAGCGTACCAAGCGTTAGCTTCGATCCGATTTACATCGATAATTGTACCAAGAAGCAAGAACGACCGAGGTCGAAGTTCAACTGTTGCTTAAACAAATGTGCGACTTGATAATCCTGAGAGGTTCAATCGAAGGAATCTGATATTCGCGGAATCTTGTAAAAGGGGAGCTGCTTAGTGCGCTGAAATCGCTTGAAAGAAGAAGCGCGAGGAATTCGGAACGAGTATAGAGGGTGAAAATTGAATTCCATTGAAGAAAAGTTATATGTTCTCGTTAGAGCGACCGCGAATCGGGCTGTCGCCGTCGAAGCCCTTAAAATTCATTGTGACTGATGATTGAAAATCTGCTTCGAACGCGAATGGTAACCTCCGCGATGAAGAATCGTGGGACATCGAGTTGCTCTCGACGCATCGATCCTGGATAACGATTCCTTGACACATGCTTCTCAACGTGTCGTCCTACGTTATTGGGGAAACGGCTCGACGCATATTTAGAGCTGACGATATAAGAATTAATGAATTAAGGTTATCAAAATAAAAAACTAAAAGCAAGTAGGTGAACGCGATAACTAAATCAAACCCTCCTAATTCTGTTAATCATTTTTCTATTAAAGAATTAAACTATCACAACTTCGTTAAGCTATCACAATTCTGTTAATCATTTTTTCTATTAACACGTTAAGCGTCATGAAAATCTTAAGTGTTCTCCCGTAGAGTTTTTCTTTTGTAGCATAGAAAAGGAACAACGATTAATTATTTGGCGTTGCAATGTTTGCATTACATTATTATCAACTTAGTTATTAAACATTTTCATTTCATATCAATTACCTTGTATGCTACGATTGTTTTCTAGTCATTCAGAAGCGTCAGTGACTGACATGGCGCTTAACGCGTTAAATAAAGAACATTCAACTATCACAACTTCGTTAACTTTGCTACCCTGCTACTCGTCACCTCTAAACACCCGTCGACCTCGCGTTCTCCCGAATTGCATTGCTCGAGTCGCGCTCCGACGCGTTATTTACAAAATGTCCCGGGATCTAGAGTGGAATGAACGATCTTTGCGCCAGGGGTTCGGTAATACTGTTTGGCATCGTCGTGTCCTCGACAGCACGGTTGAAAGACTGGGTAGGTAGGGTAGATACATATTTACAAACGGCTTGGGTGAAGCTGCGACAGTAATTTCTCGCAAATCGAAATCCGGGTGCGACCGGAAGTAAGCTTAGTCGCGATGGAAACTACGCGTACAGCTTACCAACATGCCGGAAACTTTCTAAGGGATCCGTGGCCGTCGAGTGTCGAGCGATGAATGAAGAGCGATCGCAATGATCTCATAAGACGGTGTCGAGAGTGTCGAGACTTCGCAGGAGTTGCTCGTCCTTGGAACACCACTGCACCAGTTCCTCGATCGTCACCACGCCGTCCTTGTTGGCGTCCATCAACTGAAAGAACAACATTGACATTAACCAATTAACTCCTTGCCTTATGATTTATTTCTCAACTGTGATCAATAACTTTGTCAATAATGTATTGAAAAAGGAGAAAAATTGTATGCATATTCTATGCACACTTTTGTAAAATATAATAATCGATAACGGAAACATATTTCATTTGAATTCACAAAACTTGAGTAATACTTATTTTTGCTAAACTCTGGTGAATATTACATTCTATTTCTTATCTATTTTTGCAAAATATTACTTGAGTAATGTTTATTTTTGCTAAATTCTGGTAAATTCCCTTGGCTTACAATAACGTGTGACTCATTATTGTAAGCCAAGGGGTTAAAAGTGTTCATAAGATCCAGCTCTCAAATTCCTTGGAGAGCTAATACATACATGAAAGATGCGATCAACGTGCTCCCTGGCAGCCAAGTGCGGCTCAACTATCTGTGGCTGAGTGTAACGTCCAAGCATCTCATAAATAGAGCCTACCACGTCCAGCATCTCCTCCTTACTGATCAATCCGTCCCCGTCCAGGTCGTAGAGACCAAACACCCACTGGAGTTTCTCCTCTACAGAGCCTCTGGACACTTTCGACAGGATAGTCAGGAATTCCTGAACAAAGGGCACTTTCATGTAGCGATGAATAGCATCTCACAGCTTCCGTTTCGACGGGCTAATCAAAAATACATCTGTACCTCGAAGCTGATCTTCCCAGAGGGTTTCCTCTTCATGGTGTTGAAGACGTAGTGAGCGTACTGGCTGGCGTCTGAAAGATTTCATGCAAGTTAGAACACTGTAGGGCATCGACCTAATTGACAATACGGAGCGATGAACCCTGAGGAAGAAGAGCGTTTCATAAAATCGTGTTCGAGTTTCATTAACCCTTTCGGTCATGGTGTCCTCGTATAAGGACATAGATCCTCGCATAAGACATTAAGCTTAAGGATTATATTGTACAAGTATAAAGAAAGAATTAAAGAAAAACAGGACTCGTTATATTAACCCTTTGCACTCGAAAGCTTTTCACTGGAAATATTTGACATTTTTTGACGAGATACAGACGACACTGTTTGAAACTGATTTAACGATAACTCACAGATCAATTAAGCGACAAAGAAATTTTATTGAAAAATTTCCTATAGCAATACAAAGTTTCATTTAAAGTACTAAATATTCAATTTTATAGTTTTGCTGTATCAAATCAAGTGGTGACTGAGAGTCACCTCTCGGGTGTGAAGGATTAAACATAATCAATAATATCAAGTGGAAATTGGGGGTGCTGCAGTTCGACAGTGCGTATACATGAGACGCCACCGATGATAATCATAAAACAACGGTTCAAAGAAGCCTCACCTCCTTGCGGGAAGAACTGCGAGAATATCTGCTTGAACGCTTCCTCGTCGACGAGGCCGGTCGGGCACTCCTGCTTGAACCCCCTGTAGATCAGCTGTATCTCCTTCCTGGAGAACCTGGTGTTCGCAGCGAGGGTGGCAAGCTCCTCGGGCTTGTGACGTCCGCCGAGGGCTAGGGCGCCCGCGGTGGAACCCCCTAAAACGCCCCCGAGTTCTTCAAGCTCGCCCTCTGTAAGTTTGCCAACAGGCGCTTCACTCCTAAGACTGTACCACGCGTTCGAGAGTACTCCCCTCTCACCTTTGTTTTGCTTCAAATGTGCTTCATCCTCTACTCAGTCTCAGTCTATAGGGGGAAATAGACGCCGCGCCGCGACCGCCTCTCTCCTCCGTCACCTCCGTGTCAAAGGGACCAGGCGGGAGAGGGGCAACGGCGAGCAGAGAATCTACTTACGAGAGACAGGGTGCAAACGAGTGAGAGAGCTACGTCACCGCCGCCCGGGGAGAAGATACGCCGGATGCCCCGAGAAGACAGATCCCCGACCGGCTCTGATCCTCCTCCAGGCAACCCGCTTACGCTCCCCCGTAGCTTGAGCTTGAAACGGGCTTCTACAGGGTGGGGAGAGAGAAAGAGAGACAAGTGTGCCCGTCGGCCGCGGTAAACAATGCGGCCCGGGGAACATGTGCACAGGTGCACCCGGGGTTGCAGGTAGAAGAGACTCTCGTGAAAGAGGAGGGTCGAAGGAATCGGCCCAAGTAAAACAGTCTGATCGTTTCTCTGATCAGAATGTCATCTTGTTTTACTTGGGAACGGCGGGAGCGCGCGTCGTTCCATCTTCTTGCGAACGATTGACCCGTTGATCGTGTCGCTGTTCTGATTCTTTAAGAATTTTCGTGGTTACTATCGGACGCTAGATTCTGTTCTCTTTATGAAACTAATGTATGGAGAACTAATTTCCTAAAGAGCTCTATGAGCGATTTATAGAAGCTACAGCTAAATGGAGCTTGGAAATGATGAACCCTTTACTCGAGAGGACTCTCACGCTATTTAATTCTATATACCAAAATTCTAAGGTCTTCCAGAAATACTAAGCTTCGAGTAATCTATAAATATGGGAAACATTGAAATAATTTTGTTTAACTTCTCTCATTCAGTTTCGAAGAATGTCTATAACTGGTTGGGAGATGTTGAATATTTCTAGTGAAAGAGTTTCGAGTGTAAAGGATTAAGAACTTATGTGTAGACAGGAATGTAAGATCTCTAAACTTTAACGATGTTTTTAAAATCTACGGGGGGATCGCTCGAAATCTTTCTTTATCGAGCGATCGTCCGTTAACAGGTGGACCATTTCGTTTACCAGGGGATGGAGGAACGCGCGCCGTTAGAAGTGAAAGAGATAGGTCGCTAAAAAGATCGGCAGGCGACTCGAAAGAGCTGTTGGACGTGTCGTGGTTGAAAGTTCGGTGGTTTGGATAGCTTGCCAAGATGATCGGTTCCGCCTACTCAGCGTCGAGCGATCGCTTTCGTCGACGAGTAATATTCCCGGTCGCCGTTCAGACGTCCGGCGTCTCATACTGAAGCGGCGCAACGTTTCTGATCGATACTGATTAACGGGAAGTCTATAAATATATAATTGCCGGGGGACGGGCAAAATAAGAATCAACAGCGAACGAAAGCGTGACCCAACACTAGAATCTGCAGAGATACGAGCTCTAAAGTATCTTGCGACATCTAGATCCGCGGTTTCCAACCTGGGAGGCGTCAAAATTTTTAATAAAAAACTAATGTTCGTACCATAATATCTACAAATAAATAAACTTCATATCGTAACGTAACAGTAGAAATTCAGTGAAGTAATGTTTATTTTGTAATAAAGTTATTGTTGTTTAAAATGTCTATAATATTGTATCTATTAACACGTTGAATGCCATGGGGGTTAAACGATTATTATTTGCAATTTTTATATTACAGATAATGCTATCCAATGCGATAACATTCGGCAAGATAAACGCGCAATAATAATAAAACGATTCAATGAAATAATTTGATACATTTGTTATATTACATTGTTTTCATTTTGTGCATTTTGCTACGTGAAATCGGGCGTTCAACGTGTTAAAAGACAGGGAGGCGCGGAGAAAAGAATTTTTTTTAAAGAGACGTTGTAGCATAAAGGTTGGAGACCGCTGATCTAGAGCGAATGCAACTAAGTCGAAGGTGGGGCCTAACGAATTCGTAAAGTCTAGAGTTACTACGGGAGTGTTTACTCAGGGCGTTCCATGATCGACGGTTCGACGGAAATGAGTAACGTGTCGGCCAAAAATAAATCGGATCCGGCGCCGATACGTTTCACTCGCGTCTCATTCGTGATTTATGGAACACCCTGCACACCGCTACAATTAATGCTGGCAACTACTCGTTTACTGAAGCCTACTCGGACGAATTCTCTCGAAAGCTACTCGCTAGTTCCTACGTACTCCGAGTCAATGAATTTAACCCTTTGCACTCGTGTCCGTGTACACAAGCTCGCAGCGTTTACCGCTAATGCATAACAAGCATCCGCGAAGTTTCTCCGTCGGCGAGATAATGCTTTCGATCCGCTGAAGTGCCGCGGGATTAAGGTCACGGGATTTCTAACCGTACGTAATGAAAAAACGCTCGAAGTGCAAAGGGTTGAAGCGGATAACAAAAGAGATGCCGATCGGTCGGATGAGCAGTTCGTGTCTACCTATCATGCAATTAATCCTCTTTACGCATGCTGCCGTTCAGTACTTGAAAACGACCAGGCGAACCGTTCGACGATGTCAACGATACCGCGGAAAAACGAAATCGATCGAACTCCCACGGGGGATCGTGCGCGACGTCTCAAGAGCGACCGGTCTCTTCCCGCGTCCTTTCTCACGGTCTTCCATTGATTTTGGAACGAGTAATGAGCTTCTCTTTCGACGAGATCCGCAGTTTCAAACAGAAGAAGAATCGGTTCGATTGCTTCGAATTTCTTGCTGTCTTAACGTCAGTTTTTGGAATATCAACATTGATTAACGCATTTTTCATTGGGGATTTGAAATTCTTGAACCTCGAATGGTTAACAGGTTCGTGACCACGGTCGAATTTGATATCTTTACACGTTTCGAACTTAGTAAATAGAACCAAGCGAAGCATCTTACTTAAATGTCATATTGTATGATAGTTTGGTATAGTCAAAACGAGAATAAAGTGTGTCGTGCTGAATATATATTAATATCATGATAGAGTCGCCGTGTCGCGCATATATGTGGTCGTGAACATGTTAACATTAAAACTGAGCAGGTAAACTGACTTTCCGAAATTTCTCTATAGAAACTTCAAGAATGCATCTGTTGAGACTTTAAATAATTTACAATTCAGTTTGCGTATTGCGAAATCAATTTCTTCAATAATTTCTCAGAGAAGCGTCTGTTATCCTTTTAAAAGTTGCAAAAGAAAGACGTCAGGTATGGGTCATTTTGACCCATCTGGTAGTTTTAGTGTTATAGCAAGGTTAGTCGCCAATATTTCAAGGGTCGGTCCAGCCAGACACACACGTGTTTCAAGTTTCACCCGAAAAGCGTTCGCCCGATCCACAATCTCCCCTCGCCAGGTAGAGGCATCCTCATTGATCGCTGCTAAAATTACAATACCGCGGAACTAGGCGAGGAACGAGCAAATATTAGCCCATTATGGAGATTAAGCGATGCTACACGGGTGGAATCTATAGACAGCTAGGCCGGGATACAACGTACAGGGTGTATCTCGAGGCACGCGGGGTATTCAGGGTCCAAAGATAGCGGAACTGTTTACGTTAACGATCTAGCGAGCCGTTGTTTCGCGAACGAAGCTTTTTCGAGTGTAAACAGAGCGCCTTTACGCGAGAAAATATCCCGACGCGCGGCTGGGTTCGCGAAAGATCAAACGACGCTGTCTGATAATCATCGATACATTATTAGAAGAGGCTAGAAGGCTTTCAAAATGTTACAAGGATTCTTCTAGAACGATACAGTTCACGAACCGAAAGAATACAATAAGGATTAGCCGGTGGTAAGAGATGAAATTCTTAGTTCTCCGAACGGTACTTCGTACGAGATGATGATAGGGCAGCCGACGATTGTCAAGAGAGTACTATACGATCAATTTCGTAGAAGTTCGTGGGTATTGATCAAATGGTAACTGGTCGCTCTTATCTTCGCCTCGGTGAGAAGATAGACACCGATATATGAAACGGGGAGCAAAGGTCAGGAGCGAATATAAAATATCTTCACTTAGAGATGAGGAAAGAAATATGAGTAAGAGCAAGTGAACCAAAGAAAATGGAGTATATATAAAGTATGAATTAGTTGGCTACGTGGTCAAGTCCATTTCAAAACCTATCGACTGAAATTAATAAACTATATTATGCAACGCGAAATGACGTTGACTTCGAACGCTGAACCCATCCTCGCGAAAACACCCGATAGAAGGAGGCTGCGTGGAGCAACGCGTATCTCAACGCGGTTAGAGCGAGGAGAGCCGTGACAAAGGTGCTTTCAACGAAAATTGCCTGCACATTCGGAGGAGGGAGATCGTGAAACACGGTCGCGAGCTTTGGAAGTTTCTTGCACATATACAGATATCACCGGTGCGTTCTATACGAGCTGCACTGTAATTCCACTGGCAGCTCTCTCCGGGTCCCGGGCATCCGGGGTCACCATAGCAACGGGAGAGGAGCTCCTACCGCCGTGGCCACCCCCGCGTGTCGACGGGTTCCCGTTTCCGGAGCGTTTTTGTCAATCGGGAAACGCGGGAATCCGGGCATGCACCGGGGACGCGTAACCCTGGCCGAATGGTGGAAAGAGACCGCGGACGCAACACGCGTTACGCGTGGACCGGGCAGCGTCGTCGCCATCGGTCGGTTTCCCTAACGGATCAACTACCAATTCCAAAAGAGCAGAAAGAGAACGTGTGAGTGTGTGAGTGTGAGTGTGAGTGTGAGTGTGCGTGTGCGTGTACGTGTGGTCTGTAGAAGGGAGCAAGAGGGCGGAAGGAGGGCAGGTAGCTAAAACCGTTCAACAAGGACTCGTCCGCGGACGAGGCAAACCAAGGGGGATTGAGTAACGGGGTAGACGAAAAAGATTCGTTTGGAATATATCTCTTTCAATGTGTGTGCGTGTGGATGTCTGTGGGAGGTCTCGCACCTTGCCGTTGCATCTTTGGCGGCCGTTTAGCAGTGAACGCGCGATTAAGGGGGAGATCTCTTTCTGGTCTGAGGCCCCGGGCTGTGCGCGATTCCCTTCGTCTCGAGGAGGATCTCTCTTTATTTCCACGGCGTATCGAACTGGCCTGCACCCGATATTACTCGGAGAGGAAACTCGAAGCGGCACTACAGTCCGCCTGTATGATTGATGAACTTACTTTTCTCGCGGCTCTTACGTGCCTTCATTTGGCGGTACGATCGGTAATTCGCCGACTGATTTCGAAACGACTATACCGATCCACCCGATATCCACGATCTATCTCGTGGGCGAGTGTCTTGGACCGGTCCCCTTGCGCCTATCGAGACGAGCCGAGGAATCTTTCTCTTGCGTGGTCTTCCGCCGGAGCTCCTTCGTGTATAGGTTCCCCCGAGTCTGTTCACCTGTCGCTCGAACGACCGATCGACGGCGACCGTGCACCCAATGAACCGATCGATGCTCCGCGACGGACTAACGTAACTCAGTCGACTGGGCTGTGCTTGGTCCGTAGCAACGACGTGCGCGGCTCTCGCACGCGACGCCGTGATGCATTGAAGCCGAGAGAGGAGCCTGGCCACGCAAAAGCACGGAGTACGCTGGCTCGCGCGCAAGCCCGAACGGTTTTTCTAAGCGCGGACAGCAACGTTACAAACCGCCCGTTCGCGCCGGCCGGGCCGAGCCGGGGGACGGGCATTATTTGAATAAACGATGATCTTTTGCCGCGTTATCGACGAATTTATTTAACCGCGTGCCCCGTTCCCGCCTGCCCCCTTCTCCCCGTCTCTTTCGTACAGCCCAGTTCCGCTGGATTACCCGGTCGCCGACTGTGAATATTCATCGCTCGGTTAACCTTCCACCGATAATTGCGGCTTCTGTTCAATTAGTTTTTTCTGTTAATTGATCGATCCGTTCGCCAGGCGGGTCTTCTATGGAGGATATCGGTCAATTGCTGCCCTCGCTGCAATAAACGTGAATGCGGTTGAATGCGAGAATTGTCGGGTGAACGGGAGAATGTGAAATCGCCGAGAGAGGAACGCCGAGTAACAGGTTAAGAGAAGAGAAAGGTATTACCTCGGAGAAACGATCACGGAGGAAAGAATGCTTGCGTTAATGCATCTGGTTGCACCAGAACATGGTGAAGCGGTCGTTTCACCACGAACAAAGCCCTGTGGAAGCTTCCCAGTGGCTTTATCGATGGTGAGACAATAGGCTGCGAGAAACACGTGTATCTAGTAGCGGCCTTTGCATCCGCAGATGCCATCGCTGCGCTTACAAGAGAACTACTTTAAATAGAGAAGCCGCTACTCGTGTCGGCGCGGAGCTTAGAATTGATTACGCGTGAATTGAATTACACTGGACAGCCGTTAACTATCGACTAGATCTTTTCTGAACCAGATAACGTGGCTCTCGGTTGAGTACTTTTAGTCCTAAGCGTCTGCGGGAACCTGAAACGCGACACAGGTGTGTCTGGCTATGGACGACTTTTCTACTGCACGCGTATCATTGACTGTACTACTTGCACGCTGTGCCATTCGTTGTATTGTGAAATAACCTGAAAAAATGTATGTATGCGTTACGAGCGATGAACGGAAAATAATGAAAACATGTTGTTGCACGTATAAGATGTCTTTGTTACCCTTTAACCTGTTCACCTCTAGCATTGGACTTCAACCTTCAGAGGACTTTTCTTATTTATTTCATATTCTTCCATTTCTTTGCGTCACAGTATTCATTTCAGAGTGAAGCGTGTTCTTTTGAGACGTCCTGTACACGTGTACGCGAGCAACAGGAGCATTACCACATAGAAAATAAGTAGAATATACGCTCGATGGTTGTAGGCACGCTATAAATCAAAGAGGGACGCTGTTCTCCTCCCATCAATTGAAACCGAGCCAAATGCGCTGTCGTCGTGGACCGGGCGGTTTATCTAATTTATGTTGATCCATGATAACCGTGCACAGGATACTATGCCAGACATTGTTGGCGTACAACAAGTAGTAACGGACGTTTATGTGCTGGCTACTTTCGATAAGAGAGACTAGAAATAGATAAATCTTCGAAACTACTTGTTGGAATGAAAAAAGAAACGGAATTCAATTGCGCACCTGCATATTTACATCGGAATGAATTCTTCGTCGTAGAGGAAACAGGAAGAAATACTGATTGCAGATTCGATACACGCGAGTCGATAATTAGATCTATCGTCGATTTGAGAAACTACCCTAACGCTCTGTACTCGCTGATAACGAGGATACAAATTTTATCGATCGATAATGTTGACTTTTGAGCGATAATTTCCAGATGGCAGGTGAATAGGATTTGCAATCGATAAATCGCGTAATTTTTAATGGTGTATAATAGCTGTTAGATTAAATAAAGAATCTATCCACGCGAGTGGAAACATTGGATCCTCCTGCTGCGTTCCATTTCCATTTGTTTTTCTTAGGCCGACGTTAAACGGAACACGTTTACGAATAAAAGTCAGAGGCAACTCGTGATTCGATTAGCAGACGAATTTTCCTATCGGCCATATCAGAAATGTATAGGAACCAGGAAAAGGATTACGGCTGAGTGCCTCAATGTTTGAAAATGAACGGCAACGATATTTCAAGATTATCGTACAAGGAATTGCAGGCCTTAGCTCTCAGATACCGTGTACCGGGTAACATTAAGGTAATTGAATCATTGTTCTTAATATTTCATGAAGAAAATCCGTGTGACCGCGCCGGCTTCGCAATTTCCATTGTCGAGCAAGTATCACTTTAAATTGATTTTTTGAATGATCGCGATTTTCTGGCCGTAGAAGAAATTACTGGTTAAAGTGTTGCAAGCCGCAAAAGGCGGAAATGAAAACGAGGTCGACAGGCTGCTACAGGATCTCAAGCAAAATCGCAAGAGGAAAGTGAGAAAAGTCAAAAGCGGAACACTTCTCGGGTTAACCTCCACACCACTGAACAGCCCCGATTACGTTATGGCCGATGATTATTACTTCCCGCAACAGCAACCACCTTATCAGTGGGTGAGTCGATAGAACCTGTTGCAAGAATTCGTGAACCGATTTTTATGGTAGTGGCAAGGGGGATAGGTGGTGGTGAATTTTTTCATAAAACCTTATATGCTCAGGTTGGTGCAGAGGAAGAGATTGTAAGCAGGGATGATGACAATAGGATTCCCCACTATGAAGAGTTCAAGCAGTTTTTATTGAAAAGAATACAGAGAGAATTTCAGACGTATGATATGAATAACAATCAAATACAAGATGCAACTATTGTAGATTTAAGAACAGCAACTGGCTCATCTGATATAGACAAAGATCCTTTAGATACCATCAATTGTACTACTTCCAATATAATTGCTGTTAACAATGCAGAGTCATTTGTATACCAACCTAATGATCATGTGGAATATCAAACATTGGAGGATGCAAACAACAATATGCAAGGGTCTATACTGTTGAAGAAAATGTTGCAGGCACCAGTTGGTGCAAACTTGGGAGAGATAGCTAGTCCAGTAATAAGTGGTTACAGGACATTAGATCATTATCAGCCTAATAGTTTATTAGACAATTCTGATACTTTAACAGCTGAATCGGATAATCAAGACAACGAAGAAAATCTGGAGGGTAACACAGAGTGTTATGGACTTCTAAGCAGTATAAAGGGAGAATATTTATTGAGTGAACCAACTTTTGTGAAAAATGTTGAAGAAATTGGTCAGCAGATTTCAAATGTGTTAACAAATGAAAATGTTAATCAATATAAATATTCTACAATGAATATGGATATACATCAAGATTATGATAATTGGGCCATCACCAATGTTATGGATGGGACAGAAACAAATTGTGAAGCACCTGTTGTTCCATCCCCAAAAATATTTCAACCTATCTATTATGATAACATGGGACCTGATACTTTAAATAAACCCATTAATGATGAAAGTTTAACATGTCAATACAACATGACTGAAAATGTACATACTTATAGTTCCAATCAAAATTTACTGAATTTAAATCCAACAGGGGAAAGTCAATATTATGAAACAAACATCATACCCAATGTACAGTCTGATCCATCCAACACATATTATTTACAAAACTTAATCAAATATAGTACAGAAACTACTGGAGATTATTTGCAACATACACATTCTTATACAAATGCAAATGTAACTCAGGACACATACACATCTACTGCTTCACAGATGTTTTCAAATAATACTCATTGCAATACTGATCTTCCATATGAATATGCAAGTTCATACAATAATCAAGGAAGCATCCCCTTATCCACCAATATGGAGCAACAAACACAAAACTGTAATTCTTCAGTACAATCTGAATCCAATATCAACAAAAATATTTCTGGTACTTTAGATAAGGTACAAACGAGTGGTATGTTACTTTCGCATTATTATCAAAACACTTAATCATTGAAATATGCAGGAGAAGGCAAAACATCTTGAACATTTCTTGTTTTTAGGATTACTAGACTCATTTTGGCCAACGAAATATTCGAAGATTCCTGCGAATCCGATTCTCGAGAACATTTTGAATCTCATCAACACCAAACGCGTCGATTTATCGAAATTGGATCAAACGTCCTGCGTGTATTGTTACATAGCGCCGATAGTAACACATACGCCTGTATCATCGAACGTAACTTGTTCCCAAAAGGAAAAGTTTGTTGCTGAATACAGACAACATTCGTTTACCCCGCACTGGTTGCTGTACAACGACACGTCATGCGGGATGAGAATGGCCAATTTACAGTCGAAACTCGAAGTAATCCCGCCGGAAGAGGCACGAGTGCTGCGCGCTTCAACGCCGATCAGTAATTCCGATTTACGTGAGTCAGTCGTGGAGAACGAGGATTCTTTAACGAAAGTTTGGATACAGGACCACGCAACTTACGAACCTACTAGAGAAGAAGATACAAATTCGTGCGAGGATTTAAATATTGAAGTTACAGATTGTTTATTTTCAGTAATCAATACTGAAC